TATATATGAATATATAAAAAATATATCAAAATGCGTGTGGGTACTCAAATGAAAGCTCTTGATGAGTGTAACATCAAGATGAGTTTATATCTTTAAAAATGTCAATATTTAAGAAAGTACAGTACAATTTAACAAAAGTCATTATTTACTAAAGCAAAATTTTATTTATTTATAGTTTACAAGTCACATAGTGCTAGTTAATTAATAAATTCATTGAAAAATCCAGTCATTTTAGTAAATTTTTTTTTTATTGTATCGACTGAAAAAAAATTTTTTTAGCCTGTGGACAGTTCTCAGCATCCGATTCCCAACGGCGATGGACTACCTCCAGGCTGGTGTATGCAGCTAGCTCCAAATGGTCGTATGTTTTTTATCGACCACAATGAACGCGCTACGACGTGGGTCGACCCAAGGACAGGAAGACCAAGTCCAATGCCTAATCATAATGTGCCTTCGGCCACTTCTCGAAGTGATCTAGACCAGCTGGGACCGCTTCCAGAGGGCTGGGAAGAACGTGTACATACTGATGGACGGATTTTCTTCATTGATCACAGTATGTATTTTTTTTTTTTTTTTTTTTTTTTTTTTAATTAATTCTTTTCAAATGTAAATTAATCCTCATTGTCTTTGACACATTGATTAAATAAAAAAACCTCCCTTTTCTTTTGAATTGCTACCGAGCAGAACTTTGCAAATACTCGTAATTTATTTAATTAATTTATTCTTTCAGATACACGGACAACACAATGGGAAGATCCTCGTATGTCTAATCCTCAGATAGCTGGACCTGTGAGTTAACTGCAAAATCAATAGCCGTAATTGAATTACATCAGCGATGTACTTAAATGAAATTAAAAATTCCTTTTCAGGCGGTACCTTACTCGAGAGATTACAAGCTGAAATACGAATATTTGAAGTCGCAATTGAGGAAACCTGTGAGTATTTAACAGACGATTACCGAACTGTTGATTGTTTGATAATGAACAATGAATAATTAATAATCTGTGACTTTTGTTTTTATCCAGAGCAATGTACCAAATAAATTTGAGATAAAAGTTGCGCGTAATAATATTTTGGAGGACTCGTATCGTATTATAAGCTCGGTAAACAGAGTTGAGATATTAAAGACAAAGCTCTGGGTTGAGTTCGAAAGTGAAGTAGGATTGGATTACGGTGGATTAGCACGTGAATGGTTTTTCCTATTATCAAAAGAAATGTTTAATCCGTATTACGGCTTATTTGAATACTCAGCTATGTACGTAAATTTATATAAAACTGTCCATTTGATAAATTAATCTCATTTATTTAATAATTGATTTTTTTTCTGACACAGGGATAATTATACGCTTCAAATAAATCCTTTTTCGGGGGTGTGCAATGAGGAACATTTAAATTACTTTAAATTTATTGGTCGTATTGCCGGGATGGCAGTTTATCATGGAAAACTTTTGGATGGTAATTATAATAATTTTTATAATATTAAATTTAGCTGTCACTTGACAATTTTTTAATTTTATTTAACAAAAAAATTTTTTTTGAAAAATTATTTTTAAGAAATTGCATTTTTTATTTTTTTTAATTTTTACATGTCAATTTTTTAAATAATTTTTTTCGAGTCATAATTTATTTGTTACAACAATTTTTAAAATTATTAAACATCTGCTAAATAAATTTTCATATAATTTTTTTTTATTTAAAATTATAATTATGAAATAATTTTTTTTTTTTTTTAATTAGCATTCTTTATAAGACCATTTTATAAAATGATGCTGAGCAAAACAATCGACCTGAAAGATATGGAGAGTGTTGATTCAGAATATTACAACTCGTTATTGTGGATAAAAGAAAATGATCCAACTGAATTGGAGTTGACGTTTTGCGTCGACGAAGAGAGCTTTGGTCACACGTCTCAACGGGAATTGAAATCAAACGGAGCAAACGTACCGGTGACAGATGAAAACAAAGATGAGTATATAAGTCTTGTAATACAGTGGCGATTTGTGTCACGTGTACAGGATCAAATGAACGCATTTTTAGAGGGCTTTAACGCTCTAGTGCCATTGACACTTGTTAAAATATTCGATGAGCACGAATTGGAGCTGTTAATGTGCGGTATTCAGCATATTGACGTTAAAGATTGGAAAAAAAATACATTATATAAGGGTGACTATCATGCGAATCATATTGTGGTGCAATGGTTTTGGCGTGTTGTACTATCGTTCAACAATGAAATGCGAGCTAGATTGCTGCAATTTGTCACCGGTACATCGCGTGTACCCATGAATGGCTTCAAAGAGTTATACGGCAGTAACGGACCGCAATTATTTACTATCGAGAAATGGGGAACACCTGAAAACTATCCACGAGCTCACACATGGTGAGTTATTTTTTATAGTTTTACTTTTTTATTTTATACTCAAGCTGATTTATTGTTATAATTATCTCCTATTATTTTATCTCTTTATTTATTGTTTTATACTTAAATACCCATCCATAACGTTGAGGACCCAGTTATCACTCAGTTTCATTCTGAAAAATTGGAAAAACGGTTGACCCTAAAGGCCATCTCTGCAACTTCCCGCTAATTTTATACTTAAGCGCTCAAAATTGCACTTATGAAGTTTTTGAGCTCTACGGCCACACACATATATACAGACATATTTAGCTGCCCAATTTTAAAACACAGTAACTTCAAAATTCTTATATCTGATTTTTTTTAGTATTGCTGCATTTCTTATAACTTGTAGATCTTAATTTCAAGTATTTTTTCTTAAAAATATTTATATTCAAGTATTCTCTATTCATAAATCAAATTTTTTATCAATTTGGCGCGCAAACTTTTTTTTAATAAGAAAAATTTTTAAATTGTCAGTTACTGTGTTTTGAAATTGGACAGCCTTATTATATATAAGTTAAAAGACCCAGTTATTGACACTTGTAATTTTATCCTAAATTTAAAAAAAATCAATTAATACATTTAAATATAAATTTTGAATTATAAATTTTAAGAAAATTGGTTTTTTGAGAGCACTTAGTTTTTTTAATTAGAATAAAATTGCAAGTGTCAAACAACTAGGCCAGTGTCAATAACTGGGTCTTTTACCTCACAGACATATAAACATCATCGCGGAAACATTCGGTGAAGCTTCTTAGGACCTCAAAACGTCAACATCCGTTAAAAACTCGATTTTCGATAAACGTGAAGAAACCAATAACTTCCCAACTTTTGAAAATTTTCAATTTTCTTAGCATTAAGTCAAAAAGTTATAAATTGTGACCTTGACCTCTATAAATATACTTAAGTTTATTTTTATTAATTAGTAAAAAATAGTTTCTCATAATTAATCTATTTTTAGTTTTAATCGAATTGATTTACCGCCTTACGAGAGTTACCAACAACTTAGGGATAAATTGATCAAGGCTATCGAGGGATCACAAGGATTTGCTGGAGTTGATTAGCGCGAGATACCATTTTTTATGATTATACCTGTAATATAATGTATATTTATGCATATAGATATTATATTAAATTCAATACGTATTGTTTTTGATCGCTTTAAAAAAGATATAAGTTAATTAACACTTATTATTATTATTATTAATATTTTATTATAACTATTAACACAAAATGTTAGATGATAACTTTCATTTTGTTGATATTTTTTTGTCTTATATTTTTATGCTATTTGCACTTTTAAATATTTTATAACATGCCGATTGGGAAGTGAAATTTAATTTCAGCGCTCATCTTGGCAAATCAGCGATTAAAACAGCAGCATTCCGGATTTAAATTTTTTAAAATAATATATACATTTTAATAATATAATAATAATATAAATATATATATTTTATTGATGTAAGGTGAAATATTAATAGAGTCACAAAAAGAAAAAAAAAACATTTTATTATTAATGATGACTTTTATTATCTTATGCTAGTGATTTAATGCACTCCAAGAACTTGCTATTGCTAAAGTGAAAAAAAAAAAACAATTATAATAATAATGTACATATCTTTGTAATATGATGGCTTGAATTTTCGATAGGCAAATTACAATAAAAAAATGTAATTGGTTAATTTTAATTATCTGAAATTGCATTGCATATTGTAGGAATTTTATTAAGCGTTAAAGGACATGTAATATTGTAACACTAATTTTGTTATTAATTAATTTTAAGGATTAATAATTTTTACAGTCGGATATTTTTACCCGATTTTTGTTTTATAAATTAGTGTTGTAAAATTACTGAAAATTGTGACAATTTATACGATAAATTTTTTTTTTTGTAAAATAATTTTTCAAGCTTTTAGAACTTATACAAAAAAAAAGCTCCGTGGTTGAAATTAAATGTAAATGTATTTTTATTTATCATTTAAATAATTAACAGTCAGAAACAATGTGGTAGTGGTTATAATTAAACTAAATGATCTTTTACTGATTTTGTGTACATAGGAAAGAAAAAATTGCGTAATTATTATTAAAATTTTTTTTTATTGAGCAAGCAGAAAATCAACTTATGTAAATTGTGGGAGAACACCACTGTGACGATAAAAAAAAAGAGGTGATTTTTGGGAATTTTTTTGACAGGGAAAATAAAGGAATTTGGGGATCGGATTTTTTTTATTTTATTAAGGGTACATTAAACATTATTACCCTAAATTTTTATTTAAAGATTTTTTTAGCCGGGTCAAAACAAAAAAAAAAAAACAGTAAGAATAGTGAGAAAATTTTCAATCAGTTGTCATTTTTTTTAAAATTAAAATTTTCAAAATGGAGAGGGAAATTTTTTCTAGTGCTCCACGAAATTGTTAATAACTTTGTAATAATTAAATCTTTTTTAATAAAAATTTAGAGTAATAATCTTTAATGAACCTTTAATAAAATAAAAAAAATCCGATCCCCAAATTCCTTTATTTTCCCTGTAAAAAAAATTCCCGAAAATCACCTCTTTTTTTCGATCGTCACAGTGGTGTTTCCCCTTAATATTGATTGCATTAAAAAAATAAAATACATAAAGCTAAAAATAAAAATGCTTTAGGAATCTAAAAGTGATGAAAAAATTTATGTTGTGTAAAATAAATAATACTGGTTATGTATTAATAAATAATATTAGTATAAATCTAAATATATGTAAACATATATATTTTTTGAAATGTTAATAATATTTTAAGATTTATCGGGAACATTTTGGGACTAATAGAATTTTATTTTATCCAATCACTTGAATACACTTCAGTGCAATATTTTGTTAATCTAAATAAATAAAATAACTGTATTATTATTATTATTATTATTTACAGTAAATTTTGCAATTAATACTTAATTTTTATTAATAATTTTTTGGGCCTTATAAATAAAACAAATAAAAAAATATACATGTCCCGTCCAGTTTGAAAAAAAAAAAAAATAAAGTTAGTCATCAATCGAACGTGCATAGAAATGGAATGTTTGATAGTTTGTTTTTTTGTTTGGATAGAAATAATAACAATAATGATAATAAAAAATAAATAAAAAAATATCAAGATGTAAATTGAATTTTCGTATCAACAATGCCGTTAAATATGAATGAAATTTTACGCCACTGGGTGATAAAGTTGACATCACAGTGTTCGATATTTAAAAAAAAAGTAATAATAATACATAATAAAAATAAAACAATACATGGTCGTTGAATTGGATTTATTCCATAATTGCGAAGACTGATTGCGTATCGAAAATATATATTTGTCTCTAGAGACGTGACTTTTATTATTATCTTACTTTTTTTTTCTTAAGTTAATTAATTAATTTTTAAAAATCCATCTTGAATTTTAAATGTAACATAAATAATTCTATGCAAACATTCCTGCTTAAACTTTCAATACGTTTGTGAGAAAATAATATTAATAATTATTTGCTTTATTTATAACACAATATTATGGATTAAAATTTTTAATCAATGTATTCTAGAAATTTTAGATTTAATAATAAACTTATATTATTAATAAGGTGATTGAAATAAGGTCAATTCAATAATAATTAAAATTTAATAAAAAAATGTCTTTTGTAATATTTAATATAAATTATATACACTAGAAATTTTTAATCAAAATATAACTGTTAGATAGATATAAATTGCCTACGAATAAAATCGAATTAATGTAATATTAATAATAATTATTATTGAATATCCAAAAAATCATTTAGGCTTCATTAGAGTTTGCAAAAAAAAAAATTATAAATATTTTTGGTAACACCTCAAATTTATTTACTGTAAATACCTAAACCTTGAAATAAACGACGCAATAAAATAATTTATCTCAATTAAAATTTTATTGTATTATTTGAAGCATGTAAGCATTATTATTAATAAAAAAAAATTCCAATGAGTATATAATAGCAAATGTCCGATAATTGATTGACTTTTTTTTTAATTATTTTATCAAACCACTGATCTAAAAAATTTTATATTTTATCTAAATAAAATGGTAATTATTAATTTATTAAAAAATCAATAATTGTTTAGAAAGTGTAAAAAAATCCAATTTTTTAATTAGTTCAGTGCATAAAATTAGTTATTTATTTTTCTTACGATTTTTTTATAATTATCAGAAAAAACTTTTTAAAAATAATAACAACTAGCAACCTTGCAGTCACTATGTGACTTGTAAAATATAAATAAATAAAATTTTGCTTTATTAAATAATGACATTTGTTATATTGGACTGTACTTTCTTGAATACTGACGTTTTTGAAGATATAATCTCATCCCGACGTTACACTCATCAAAAGCTTTCATTTGAGTACCCACATGCATTTTTGATATATTTTTCATATATACATATATATATATATATATAATATATATGAAAAATGCGTGTGGGTACTCAAATGAAAGCTCTTGATAAGTGTAGCATCGGGATGAGCTTATATGTTTAAAAATATCGATAGTTTTCAAGATACAAGGTCTTTTTTTAATTACGTTAAATGCCACTGTACTTTCTTAACTATTGACATTTTTACAGATATAAGCTCATCCCGATGTTACACTCATCAAGACCTTTCATTTGAGTACCTACATGCATTTTTGATATATTTTGTTATCAAAATACAAGACCTTTTTTTAATTACGTTAAATTCCACTGTACTTTCTTAACTATAGACATTTTTAAAGATATAAGCTCATCCCGATGTTACACTCATGAAGAGCTTTCATTTGAGTACCTACATGCATTTTTGATATATTTTTGATATATACATATATATAATATATATAAATATATAAAATATATGAAAAATTTCTTGATGAGTGTAACATCGGGATGAGCTTATAACTTTAAAAATTTCAATAGTTCATAAGATACAAGGTAATTTCTTAATTATGTATCTAGAGATAGAGCATTTTCGAATGCAGCTAAAATACGTATCTTCATAAATTGCGTCTATCGGTGAGAATGATGTGAAACCTTGAAAAGACACAAATTCAAATCAAGACCTTTGCAATGACACTAAATTTTACTAAACAAACCGATTTTATCATATAATTATCCTGAACACAAAAATTTCCTTATTCTCTTAATAATATAGATAATTTAAAAAATAAAATTTAAAATTCCCGCGTAAATTTAAGCGCGCATGTGCGAAATTTAAAAAGTTGACCACAAGATGGCGTCTTTAATGTGACTCCAGAATCAAAAAAGACAGCTGGGAAGTAGGTAACATCCACACATCGATTTGGAAGCCCTACGTGTTCGAAAAATTGCTCTGTTTAACTAAAGTATGTATATTTACACAACTATAAATATAAACGAGTAACAACAGTAATAAAGACAACAATACTATCACCGACAGTAATAAAAAACACGGCAAAATTAAATACCGTTTAGCGTTGAATATCAGTAGCAGAAAAACAAAATAAAATAAAGTTTAAAAAATAATAAAAAATAAGAGATAGTAACTAAACGGAGTTTGAATAAATAAACGCGAGTGTAATGTGTGTGACGGACTTTAGTCCAGTGGTGGTTAATGTTTTATTTCCAGTGATATAATATCTGATAAAATCGATTATCAGGATGTATACGGTCATGGTGATTTATAACAATAATAATAAAAACTAACAAACTAACAAAAAACCGTGTAGAGGTTTCTTCTACCCGGACGTAAATTTAGCTGGTGGCTGTTGGTTATGCGGCGGTTCTGCTCGCCGTCAGCCCCTGTTCAACCCTTTAACTCGCTTCTTGTTCTTGAAGCTACTGGTTATAATACTATTGGAATAAAACCGAGGCCGAAAGTGAGTACAAAAAGACCCCGACCGAAAACAAGACGAGCATCTTTTTACCACCGGGTTCACTGCATTGCGGTGAGTCTCCTTAAGTATTTACATTTTTTAATTAATAAATCATCTTGGCAGTATCCGTGTCGCCGAGTAAGTTTATTAATAATAATAAAGTTAGCCGACATCTAAAAATTGTTATGATTT